AGCCATAACTTTTCTACACTCCCAGCCTAGTTTAGGTTAGGTTAGGTTAGGTAAAGTATTAGGCGCCTGAGGTGAATATCACGTCTTTTCTTAACCTGCGTTTGCTCATGACCTCGCAGGGCCGAAGCTCATGAGTGCCATGATGATTGCAAGGATGCGAAATGTCCTGACACGAGCGACTGCAACCACGGCACTGTCAAGGAGCACTGTGGATGTTGCGACGTCTGCAAGAGGGTGAGGTCGTGAGTCGGCGTCCGCCACGAGGGCTTGTGGAATGCTGCTTCCTGGGGATGGAGAGAGAGAGAGAGGAGAGAAGGGAAGTAGAAAGGGATGGAGGGGGGGGGGAGTGGGACGAGGGGAAGTAGAAAGGGATGGAGGGAGGGGGAGAGTGGGAGAGGGAAGTAGAGAGGGGGAGAGTGGGAGAGGGAAGTAGAGAGGGATGGAGGGAGGGGGAGAGTGGGAGAAGGAAGTAGAGAGGGATGGAAGGAGGGGGAGAGGGAGAGGGAAGTAGAGGGGGAGAGGGGGAGGGAGGAGAGAGGGATGGAGGAGGGGGAGAGTGGGAAGGGAAGTAGAGAGGAGAGGGATGGAGGAAGGGGGAGAGTGGGAGAGGGAAGTAGAGAGGGATGGAGGGAGGGGGAGAGTGGAGAAGAGTAAAGTGATGGAGGGAAGAGTGTATGGATGGAGGGGGAGAGTGGGAGAGTGAGGAAGTAGAAGGAGGGATGGAGGAAGGGGGACAGTGGGGAGAGGAAGTAGAGAGGGAAGGAAGGGGGGTGAGAGTGGATAGAAGGAAAGTAGAGAGGATGGAGGAAGGGGGAGTGGGAGAGGGAAGTAGAGAGAGGGATGGGGAGAGGAGGGACGAAGAGAGGGAGGTTGGAGGGAGGGGGAAGAGTGGGAAGAGTAGGAAGTAGGGAGAGGGAGAGGGTAAGGGGGAGAGATGGGTAGAAGGAAGTAGAGAGGGATGGAGGAGGGTGGGAGAGGACGAGTGTGGGGGAGGAGGAAGTAGAGAGAGGGATGGGAGGGAGGGGAGGAGTGGGAGAGGGGTAAAGGTGAGGGGGAGAGCCTGTGGATAGAGTGGATGTATAGATAAGAGATATGGGAGGGAATGGGACGGGAGCTGGGGAGAAAGTGGGAAGGGAAGGTGAGAGAGGCGATGGAGGAGGGGGAGATGGGAGAAGGAAGTAGAGAGGGAATGGAGGGAGGGGAAGTCTTGAGGCTGTATTTTAGGGAGAAGGAAAGTATGAAGAGGGATGTGGAGGGGTAGTAGTGGGCAAAGGGTTTGGGACGAGAGGGAAGTAAGAAGGAGGTTTGGAGAGGAAGGAGGGGGATGGAGGTAGGGGAAAATCGGATGATAGGGTAGAGAGGGGGAGTTTGAGCGGACGGACACAGTGGAGACTTTAGGAGGGTTGGGTAGAGAGGGGACAAGTTAGAGGAATGAGGTTCGATTGGAGGGAAAGGGGGAGAGTGGGAGAGGGAAATAGAGGATAGTGAGGTGGGTGAGTCGAAGGAGAAGGGGCGAGGATAAGTGGTTGTCGCGACGATGGGCTGGGGATTATGGGGGAAGTCAAGAGAGGCTGACTTGGATGCGATGAAGGGGGAGAGTGGGAGAGTGCTATAGTAGAAGAGACGGGAGGGATCGGAGTGGCGGGTTTCAGCGAANAAAAAAAAACAGGAAAGTATGGACATTTGACAGTTCAGTATAACAGAAAAGAGAGACAGTTACGACGCTGATTTTACAAACTCGATACCAACGTCAAGCTTTAGTGTTTACAAACCTACCATACATGTTACACATTTATAGTAACATTTTTGAAGTAACCATACATGTTACACTTTTGCAGTAACAAATCACACACAAATATGATTCCTCTTCAGAAACTTCCAACTGTTGTCCATGATCTGATCTTTCTCTGGAATTTCAAGGGCGCTGCCTACCCCACGCGCCCAATAACAAACTGTTTCTTACCAAGTCATCTCGTGTTTTGATTATAGGCATATAAAACAGTATTCTAAGAAGCAGGGGAAAATCACGTTCCTGCCCTGTTTGGCATTACTAATGCTGTATGTATACCAGTTTATATACCAAGATTATAAAAATTCAGTTCCATCCACCTGTCTATCTATCTATTTATCTATCTGATGATTTATCCATTTCTATTCTCATACTATCCGACATACCTATCCCTGTGCTTAATACATTTTATATTCATTTAATATACCATTATTATCTTGCACCTATTTAAATCAAGTTATCATTTTGAAATATAAACGCACCAGACATGCCTGAGCAACCATTTCCTGCTTCTCCAAAGGCCACACAAACAAAACGATCACTTTGGAGCTTTGAAAAAATAGTTTTAACAATATAAACAAATAAATAAAAGTTATAACAACAAAAATTGTTATGCTTGAGAAAAAAAAAACTGGCCTTCTACCCCCGTTGTTAAGTGAGTTGGTGTTATTGATTGCGTAGTGCACTCTATCTATTACGCTTTTATTTATT